CCGGGGTGTGAGGGGCGGCCGGGGGAGCTGGGGTGACAATGTCCTTCAGGTCGGGGGTGGGGGGGTGCCGTCAGGCTCACGCAGGGCGCCAGGCCTGCCCCTGGGAGCTGCCACCAAGAATCGCCCCTGCCCAGCACGCGTGCCTGCCCCACTCGTCTGGACCACGCACAGGTTGGCAGAGCCCAGCCCCTCGGAGGGTCTTGTACCCGCCAGGGCCCGGCCCAGGGCATCACCCTGCGGAACACCCCGGAAAGGCCTGGAGTCACCAAGCAGGCACGCACGCTGGGCAGGGCCACCCTGCCATCCCTGCGGGCACAGGGCACAGGCCCAGGCCGTGCATCGCCCAGGCATCTGCCTGGAGGCAGGTGTCTTTCCAGGCGGCACACACCCACCTGGTGGCGGGCTCTGCAGCCTCAACCCAGTGCCACCCGCTAGACCCGGGCTGGGGGCACGGCCGGGCCTCTGAGCGCGCAGGCCGGCGGTGCAGGGGGGGTGCCCGGCTGGGCGGGAAGCTCCTGGCAGCCCCCGCCCCACCCGGGTGGCCCCACCGCGGGGAGAAGCTACCAGCTCCCATGTCCGGGGTGGGGGTCCGGCGGCAGCAGCCCAGCCCAGCCCCCGCCCTGCCCACCCGTCTGCGGGCCTTCGCTGGTCCCCCGCGGAGGGAGGCCAGCAGCCCCCACACCCCCTACATCCTCGCTACCCGCCCCCGGCGCCCCCTCCCCGCCGGCCGGAGGGAGGGCGCGTCCCCGCCACGTTGCGCGCCCGCCGCCGCCTTTGTTCGGGTCGCCAGAGCCCCGCGCCGGTCCCGCGCCCGCCGCCCGCGGGGCGCCCAGCCCACCTGGAGTAGAGGCGCCGCGCCGCGTCGGGCAGCTCGTCCACGGCGGGCGGGGCCGGGCTGGCCATGGGCCGGGGTCGCCGAAGGCCAGGGCCCCGCACCCCTCCCCGCGCTGCCCAGCGTCGGCGCCCCGTGCGCTGCCCGCTGCCCGCTGTCCACCGTCTGTCCGCCTGCCCCGCCGGCGGAGGCGCCGAGGAAGTGATGTGCGCGGGCGCCGCCCCTCCCGCCGTGGCCGTGATGTCACGGTCCCTCCTCCCGCCGCCGGTGGAGGAGGGGCGGCTGCGGCTGCGGGCCGCGCGCGGCGGGGGCGGGCGGGACCTCCTGCGCCTGGCACGGGGCGGGCGGTGCTGCGCCCCGACCCCAGGATCCAGGGCTGGGCCCGGCGTTGGCCCGGCTGCTGAGCCGCGCTGGCCTCCCCGCCCCCTTCCCGCCACCCCCACGGGGGGATGTTGAGGACCCGCTGCCTTTGTTTGGCATCCTCCCCCCTCTGGTCACGCCCCCGCGTGTCACCCCTTGGAACGGGCAGGGGGGTGGGCATTGGGGAGCTCCTCGGCCTCGGGTAGAGACCTGGGGGTGCTGATCACAACAGCCCCTGCCCCTGTGACCTGGGGTCTGGGAGGAGGGGTGGAGGGGGAGGGGCGTGGGGGCAGTGTGGCCCGGCCAGGGCGCTGTGGACAGTGGCAGCCCCGTCCCTGCTGCCCCTCACCACCGAGACCCTGAGACCCGCAGTGGCCTCGTCCCCCTCCGACCCTTGGCCTTACCTGCGAGCCGGGGACGGGGGAGACTTGACGGGTGCAGGGAGGCCGCTGGCTGAGCGGCCTCCAGCTCTGAATTCCCGGGGCCTGAAGGCCCGACTGTGAGATTCGGCCTGAGATTCGGCCTCGTATCCACCCGCCCTCGCCCTGGCTCTGCCCTCCCCCCTCAGGGTGTTCTCTCCAGTGGGGGGCAGGGCCAGCTCCTGGGCACCGCGGGCACATGTGGGTCTCACCTTCTGGTTCTGTCCTGCTCCCTCCTCGTTCCCAACCTTCCTGGTGCAGCCGGGAGACCCCAAACCCTGGAGAGTCGCTGTGACCAAGCAGGATGGAGACAAGTCCAGCAGCGGGAAATGGGCTACTCCCCGCTCATCCCCCCCCTCCGCCCAGCGTCCAGCCCCTCCCCGGAGAGCGGCCCCAGGTCAGAAAAAATGCCACAGCCTCCCAGCCAGACCCTGGCAGGACGCAGCCCACAGGCGGCTGGCTCCGGCCAAGGAAGAGGCAGAGGGGCCGAAACCAACCCAAGATAAAGTGCGGCCTGGCCGGCTGCTTTGTTTTTCCGAGGAAGAGGCGGCAGCAATGAGAACCATCTGTGCCCGGAGCCGGCGCCCCAGGCTGGTCCCACGCGCCCTCCCCGATAACCACAGGAGCTGGGCACGGCCCTGCGCCTGGCCTTGGCCTTGGCCGCCGCTGCGGGTGGGGGGTACAGCGGAGGGGGCTCCCCTGGTCTGTGACAGCCCCAGGCCTGCCTCTCTGCAAGGGCAGGGGCTGCCCCGGGCCCACCTGGGCCAGGCCCCGGCTGCGGCCTCTACGTGGACCACGTGTGTGCCAGGGGCCTGGGCCAAGGAGGCCCCCACAGTGATGAACCGTGGATGGCGGGTTGAGGGGCGCTCGGTGGCCCTGTAGCTGTCACTGCAGGGGCGAGGGTATTTCTTCTTCCTTCCTTGACGCAGGGAGACCAGGGCGCTGGGGTCCCTGGGCTAGGAGAGCCGGACTCTCGGCGGGAGGGGGGCCGTGCGCGAGCCGGCCGAGGCTCAGACTTGGAGGTAGGCCTGTGTGACCAGCACACGTTGCCTTCCCCCTCTGAGCCTCGCTCCTGCCGCCTGTACCGAGGGCTCCACAGCCCGTCCCACAAGGGCTGCGAGGGGTCAGGGGTCTGGGCGCGCTGAGCCCGGCGCACAGTAGGAGCTCTGGTTCCAGCTGCTGGCCCATGCTGCCCCACAATGGCCCCGGCCCCTGGGCCCCTGCTGGCCGCTCCAGCTGGGCCGGGGACACCCCGCCCATGGCACCCGGATGTGTCTTCTCGCATCTGGAGATCTGACTCTCAGCACAACCCCCAAAGGAAGGTGGGTCGGGGCAGGCCCCAGGGACACGGCGCTGCCCCATGGCCGCCCGGGAAGGACGTGCTCTGTCCACGGAGGAGGGACTCCTGGGTGACATCTGGGAGAGGGGGCGCTCCTGGGCACTCAGCCTCCATCACAGTGCCTCCCCCTGGTGCCGACCCCTCTGCACCTCCCTTTACTCTGCTCCCCTCCCTCCCCGGCTGCTCTTCCCCCGCCTGGGGGCACACACCGCCTGGACACACCTGGACCCTCGCCTGCTCCCTGTAAACCGCCCCGAGCTTCACGCACCAGCCAGGCAGAGTGCCCCCTGGGAGGGGGGTCCAGGGAGGCCGTCAGGTCCTCCGTGGGCCTTATCCCAAAGGAGCCTTAGAGAGGAGAACACTGTCCCATCCGCCAGCCCCTGGCCCGGCCCAGGCTCGGGGAGCAGGAAGGAGGGGGTGCAGATGGTGACGCCGGACCTGCCTGGAGTGCCAAGGGGCGATGTCAGCACCAGGACCTGCTCCGGGGACTCGTCAGCCGCCACCACCCGAGGGCACCGTGTGCCTGCGCCTCGCCCAGCGTGCCCGGCTTCCCGCCTCCGGTGCCCGGGTGCCAGGCTTCGCCCAGCGTGCCCGGCTTCCCGCCTCCAGTGCCCGGGTGCCTGGCTTCGCCCAGCGTGCCCGGCTTCCCGCCTCTGGTGCCCGGGTGCCTGGCTTCGCCCAGCGTGCCCGGCTTCCCGCCTCTGGTGCCCGGGTGCCAGGCTTCGCCCTGGTTCCCTGACTCGCCTCTCCCTGGGCCTGACCCGGGAGGCCTGGCAGGAGGCGGCAGTGGCCAGTTGCAGGGCTCTTGCTGTGCCCCTGGGAAGGGGGGCCTGGGCACCTAGAGAGAGGTGGACACTCCAGGCCGGTGTGGGCCTCGGACAAGGACCAGGCCAGGGCAAGGTGACCAGCCTACCTGAGGTCACCGCAGGGCAGAGAACCGGCCTGCGGGCTGCAGCCAGGGCTGGGGTGGCAGCTCCGAGCCCACTCCTCCCAGACCGCCTTCCTCCTGCGCCCACCTCCCTGGAGCCCCGCCCCCAAGGCCCAGGGGCAGCTAGGAGCCCCGCCCACCACCGGGTGCCAGGACCTGAGGGGCTTGGCCAAGCTCTGCGTGGATCCCAAACAGGGGAGGAAAGAGGTGGACAGGGAGGAGAGGGGAGGGGGGAGGAGGGGGAGGGGGAGGAGAGGGAGGGGAGGAGGAGGGGAAGGGGAGTAGGAGGAGGGGGGGAGGAGGAAGAGACACACACAAACGCACTGGCTTAAGGAAAAGGAGCTCTCAGGTTTAGCACTGTTTCCAATAAGCTCGTTACCCTGAGAAAAACTTCTGCACAGTTTGGGGAGCATGTGCCCCCCATTGCCCCGAGGCCCCCTTGGGTCACCCACGGACATTTCCTCTCCTTGGGGGCCTCCAAATCCCTGGAAGGTGGGGGTTGCCAGGGACCAGCAGGGCCCACAGGCATGGGCTGCGGGAGCCCAAGGAAAGGGCCTAGCGCCTTCCTGGGAGGTGACTCGCCCAGGAAATAGCTGGAGGCTGCAGAGGCCTCGTTCCGCCCCTGCCACCCAGTGCCATCCGGCCCCGCAGCATTCCTGGGCGCTGGCTGGCAGCGGCCACCTGTCACCCAATGGCTGTCCCTGGGGCCCGAGGGACAGGCAGGGCACAGGCGAAACCGTCACCCGCTGCTCCGTCCCTGGCAGGGGGTCTGTGGGGGCTGGTCCTGCCTGTGTGACCAAGGTCCCCGCCTCAGCCCTATGAGGCCTGTGGGGTGAGGCCCTGTGAGGCCCCAGTCTGGGCTCCGTGAGGGAGCGCCGTGGCTGAGACACCCACACCTGCACCGACCCGCCGGCGCCTGGGGCTGACCCCTGCCTGGCCCAGCTCGGGGCAGGTGCAGGGCTAAGTACAGTTTCTAAGTCTAAGCCTTCAGTAGTCAGCGAGTCCAAGAAGGGCTTTCCGACCTCTGCCGTGGCTCAAAGAGCAAAGGAGAGAGTGCTCTGGGCCAGGCCCCAGGACCTGTTGGGCCAAGAAATATTAAAAATTACATTTTGTCACCAATAGTGGCCCTGACATCTCACAAAAACTGCCAAGTTAGAGAACTGGAAGGAGAGAGTGCGGAAGAGCTGAGAACAGAGGCTCAGAAGGTCTAGACGTAAAGATAAAAAAGGCAGACACAGAAGGCTGACGTAACGCTCACAACGGCCGGACAAGTGGCTGGCGGGCTCGGAACAGGAGCCACAGAGCATCGCCCACCCCTGAGCAGGTCATCTCCAGGGAACACGGGGCAGTTTTGAACCCAAGGCCTGGGAACGGGCTGCGGGGCTGCTCCCTCCCCCTGCCCTTTCCTCCAGCCTCCTGGGCCGGCACATCATTTCCCAAAGTCTTTGATAACTTACAGGCCTTGGAGCCTTGCTGGGTTAAATAATAAACATCTAAATATTTCGAAGTAACAGGATTCTGCAACATTAATTAATTTGAGTTTGCCTCTTAGGGAAAATATAGAGGATGGATTTGAATCTATTAATGAATAAGTCTTGTATTTTACTTGAAATATCTCTTAAAATGTGAATGTATTGCTAATCTGAGGAATGTTAATTACATGCCACCTAAACATCAAGGCTTCTAAGGTTAAAAAATTCAAAAATTATGAGAAGGAATTATGGTTTCGGTATAACAGAGAAAGCATGAGCCGTGAAAATGCATTTTGAAGAAGAAAGAATGTGGTTGCTAAAGCTGGTTATTTCTGAAAGTTATAAGGTTTCTAAAGAAAAATTTGTAAAAGATACAGAATGTTTGTAAAGAAAAATGTTGAGAAGAAAATTGAATAAATGACACAGGCCAGTAAGCCAGGATGAGTAGGATAGGGAAATTGAAATAGTTAAACAGCAATTTGGGGCCAGCTGGTAAACCGTCTTCCCTAAGCCAAGGGCACCTAGAGCGAATGATTTGCATGTTGCCTCCCTAACCAGAGGGAAATGGCTTATGTCAACGTACTCAGGGAGACTGAAGAGAAAGCCAGTGAGTGAGGTTGCTGACCGCACCCAAGAACAAATGAAATTAGAAAATAAACCTTACTTTGGTTAGTCTTTTCCTAAAGCAAAAGTCCTACAAACTATTATGTGTTATATTAACCAGGTACTAAAAAGAAACTTAGTTACAGGAGCTGAAGCTTTAGTAGCATATGTTTGTGTTTTATACCCTCTTGTCACTTTGCTACATAATCTTTTGGTAGAATGGGTTTGACAACCTTCCTAGGGTTTACGTTTTAAGAAAAGTTTTCTGTTTGTGGTGTGGTGTTTTTTTTTTCTTCATTTTAAACAAGAAGTTTATTTAAACAACAAGACACTTGACTTGAAGGGAAAACTATCTAGGATTCATTTTTTTAGAGTACTTTAATCCCTACTTAAAGACAGACTGCCCTCCCTGTAACAGCTGCGTACAACAGAGTTATAAAATTGTCCTTGGTTTTACAATGGTAAAAAATGAAAAACATTAAAATTCTCCAATCAAACAAGGTATGCAAGAATTTTTATGTTGTTCTTTTTTTTGTTAAACAGTGAGAGCAAAATAACTGCCCTGGCCGGTCTGGCTCAGTGGATAGAGCATTGGCCTGTGGACTGAAGGGTCTTGGGTTCGATTCTGGTCAAGGGCACGTGCCCAGGTTGCTGGCTTGATTCTCAGTTGTTGGGGGGGGGGGGGGGCGTGCAGGAGGCGGCTGATCCATGATATTCTCTCTGTTTCTCTCTCTTCCTCTCTAAAATCAATAAAAATATATTTTAAAAAAACCAAACGTCCTGGACCCTAAGGCCCAGAGCTGCATGAGCACGCCGCTAATGGAGGGAGGGGGTGTTCCCAGAACCAGTATTCCCCGTCCCATCTCCATGTGATGCGATCAGAACATACCACTGGCCATTTAGTTAAAAAAACCCAAAACAATGCAGATGCCAGTGCACTGGTGCACGGGCCTTGGCTGCTGGGTGTGCAGTGCAGGGCCCGCTGGTCCGTGTGCAGTGCAGGGCCGGCTGCTGGGTGTGCAGTGCAGGGCCGGCTGCTGGGTGTGCAGTGCAGGGCCGGCTGCTGGGTGTGCAGTGCAGCGCCGGCTGCTGGGTGTGCAGTGCAGCGCCGGCTGCGGGTCGGCTGCTGGTGTGCAGTGCAGGGCCGGCTGCTGGGTGTGCAGTGCAGGGCCGGCTGCTGGGTGTGCAGTGCAGCGCCGGGCGGGGTGAGCGCAGGGAGGACCATGCTGCACCGGCAGGTGAGCGGAGGCCCAACTGCAGCTCCTCACGGGGATGCTTCCTGGCCGGGGGCCCATCACTGCGCCCCCGTCCTCCACGGCCAGCGGGCGGGCGTCCGCCCTGCCCCCCACAAGCCCCTCGGTGCTTCCCTTCGTCCCTAAGGGGGCGCCTCCGAGGCTGAAGCTGCGCCCCGGAACCGCCCCGCCCGCCTCCGCGGTAACGCGGTCGCCGCTCTCAGGCTGACTCCTTCCGGGGCTTTTCCTCGCGTCTCCGCCGCCGCCGCCTCGCAGGAGGGGCGCCAGGTCGGCACGGCGAGCCCCAGCCCCGGCGCAGGAGGCGGAGCGGAGGGGGAGGGGGAGGAGGCGGCGCCGCCGAGGAAAGTCTTTTTTTTGGTGTTTTTTTTATGTGGAATTGGCGGTGGGAGAGCCGTGGCCGTCAGCCGAGTCTGAAGAAAAGAGTTTAATCAAGAAAAGGGGAACAGAGAATGGACAGGGCGCCTTCTCCGTCCAAGAACCGTAGGCAGCGCCATGTCGGCGGCACGACTCGCAGCTCCCCTGGCGGCCGCCATCTTGGACCGGCAAAGGCCCGCCCCGCCCCTTGAATCAGCCAATCAGGAAAGACGGTGCGCCTGCGCTCCAATCAGGAGGGACAGGGAAGGGGGCGGGGTTACAAAGCCAGCGGACCGCGGCTCCGAGTGCGCCTGCGCCCAGACCACTGCCGGCGCGCGCCCCTCTGCACAGAAGCGCAGGTACCGCCTGCTGCCCGGCTCCCAGGTGTGTTTTATGTTCCAGGGGGGCCCGGGTTTGGGGGTTCGCCTCCCTTCTCACGTGCAGGGCGGCTCCCGGTCCTGCAGCCCCGGCGAGCGGCGGGGGGAGCACGGGACGCCTGCGCGCGCTCCAGGCTTTTCCTGCAAAATTCCAGCCGTGCCGCCTCTTACCCCACCGCCCCCCTCCCCGCCCCGGGGTCCAGGCGTTGCCGCAGCCCTGACCCCGCCGTACTCCCTGGTGGAAGCCGGACCTTGTCCCTGCGGAGTCTCCCGAGGGGGTGGCGCCCCGTGCGGTGTCCCGGGCCCTTTGAAATGACTTTTGCGCCGTCCCGATCCCTAGGGTCCGGGGACATGAACCCCGTGGTCGTGGTCCACGGGGGCGCGGGCAGCCGGGTCTCCCAGGACCGCGAGGAGCGGGTGCGCCAGGGCGTGGCCCGAGCTGCCGCCGCGGGGTACCGCGTCCTGACGGAGGGGGGCAGCGCGCTGGACGCCGTGGAGAGCGCGGTGGCCGCCCTGGAGGACGATCCCGAGTTCAACGCCGGTGAGTGTGCCCCGCGCGGGTCAGGCTAAGCCCCTCCCGGGGGCACCGGGCCTCCCTGGGGTGCGGGTGACCCCGTCCGCCCGGGGGTAGAGCTGCGTGTGTCTTACTACCTGGTGACCAAGTTGCTTTAAGGATTTTTAAATCTTTCCCCGCTTTGTCCCCTTGAACCCGTTTCCTAGAATTCACATCCCCAGAGGCTTTTAAATATATGAATAAGTAGCACTTTAAAAATACCTTTATTGCCTAGACCGGTTTGGCTCAGTGGGTAGAGCGTCGGCCTGTGGACTGAAGGGTCCCGGGTTCGATTCAGGTCAAGGGCATGTACCTTGGTTGTGGGCACATCCCCGGTAGAGGGTGTGCAGGAGGCAGCTGATCGATGTTTCTAACTCTCTGTCCCTCTCCCTTCCTCTCTGTAAAAAATCAATAAAATATATTTTAAAAAAACACCTTTATGGATCTCAGAGAGGAAGGGAGGGAGAGAGAGAGAAACACCAGTGATGAGAGAGAACCATTGATTGGCTGCCTCCTGCAGGCCCCCACTGGGGATGGAGCCTGCAACCTGGGCCTGTGCCCTTGGCCGGAATCGAACCCAGGACCCTTCGGTCCCCAGGTGGATGCTCTATCCACTGAGCCAAACCGGCTGGGGCCCAAGAGGCTTTTTATGACACCTTTTTGTGAGGGCTGGGGTAGACTACACACCACAAACTGTCCATTTTACGTTTTGACAGATGTGTAACACACCTGTGTGACCACACCACCATCAGGTTAAGACATTCCCATCACCCCCGAGGGGTTCATGTCCCCCTTTAGTCCCCAGCTCCGGGCACCTGCTGGCCTGCTGTCAGGAGAGTAAGCTGCGTTCCCTAGGATCTCGTGCAGAACGGGTTTTTCTGAGTTTGCCTTCTTTCACTGAGCCGATTAGAGTGACAATAAGCCCAACTACGGTGAGAGCCAGGCACGGCCACTGCCGCCTGGGACATCTGCATGAACTCAGTCTGCACTGTGGTCTTCTGACTTATTTATCTTAAATACGTGTATTGATTTTTTAGAGAGAAAGTAAGTAGGAAGAGAGAGAGAGAAGCATTGATGAGAGAGAAACATGGGTTGGTTGACTTCTGCACGCCCCATACTGGGGATTTAGCCGCACAGGCCTGGGTTGTGGGCTCGATCCCCAGCCGGGGACGTGCAGGCGGCAGCTGATCCATGATTCTCTCATCATTGATGTCCCTCTCCCTCCCTCCCTCTGAAATCAATGAAAATGAACGTTCCCCTGGCTCAGGAGCGAAGGTGAAGTGCTCTCCCCTCCCTTTCGGGCCTAGGTTGTGGGTCCGTCTTGAACGTAAATGGGGAGGTGGAGATGGACGCCAGCATCATGAGTGGGAAAGACCTGTCCTCGGGCGCCGTGTCCGCCGTCCGCCACATCGCCAACCCCATTCGGCTCGCGCGGCTCGTCATGGAGAAGGTGGGTGTGCCAGCCCTTCCCCACGGCTCCGGCGCCGCTGCCCTGTGGTGGCCGCCGGGGTCTGACCGCAGGGACACCGGAGGCCACTCCCCAATCGTGAGAGCGGGAGGGCGGTTACGCCGCTCTGGTGAGCCAGGGTTCTGACTGGACGGTGCGATTGGGCAAGAACACAGCGATGACTTTGTTCTCATGTTCCCGTCCTGCCCGGCGTTCTCTCAACACCACACACCGAGCAGACCAGCTGCTGAGCAGCGTGTGCGAAATAAACACGGACTGTGCTCTCTACGTTTAAAACATCTTCCATTTTCCTTCCTCACTTTTTTTTTTTAAATTTTAATTTTTTGGTTAATCTTCACAAAGGATATTTTTCCCATTGATTTTTAGAAAGAATGGGGGGGCGGGGTGGGAGAGAGAGACATGGATGTGGGAGACAAATCGATTGGTTGCCTTCCGCATGTGCCCCGACCAGGGCCGGGGATCGAGCCGGAAACCGAGGTAGGTGTCCTTGAGCGGGATCGGACCCTGGACTCTTCAGTCCACGGACCAGCACTCTATCCACTGAGCCAGACTGGCCAGGGCACATTCTCTAAGATCACGTGTAGCCCTGGCTGGTGGCTCAGCTGGTCAGGGCATGTGCTGGGGGGGGAGGGCGGGGGGCAACTGATCGCTGTTTCTCACGTCAGTGTCTCTCAAATCAGTAAACAAATCCTGGGGTGAGGATGAGGAAAAAGTCACATTGAGTCACATTCCCACCCACGCGCCACCATTTTGGTTTGTGTGTTTTTAACGCAAAGCTGGGCGCCAAGCTCTCTTCATACAGAAGGGTGAGCCCCTGACGTTGCATTTCTGAGGCTTGGTACCCAGAGGCGGGAGGAGTGTCACCTGCTCACATAGGGACGGTTAACAAGATTTCAACGTTTTAAAAAACCAACCCCGTGTCTACCTCTCCCTGGTCAGACGCCTCACTGCCTCCTGACCGGCCAGGGTGCTGCAGAATTTGCCGCCGCCATGGGGGTCCCGGCGGTTCCTGAGGAGCAGCTGGTAACGGAGAGAAGAAGGAAACACCTTGAGAGAGAGAAGCAGAAGGAGGCTCAGAATCCAGACCAACAGAAGTAAGTGCCACTTGGCCCGGCCAGCATGGCTCAGTGGTTGAGCATTGACCTCGGAACCAGGAGGTCAGGGTTCAGTTCCCGGTCAGGGCACAGGCCCGGGTTGTGGGCTCGATCCCCAGTGTGGGGCGTGCAGGAGGCAGCCGATCCAAGATTCTCTCATCATTGATGTTTCTCTCCCTCTTCCTTTTTCTTTCTGAAATCAATAAAAATCTATTAAAAAATAAAAAAGTAAGTGCCACTGAGGCTCATGTCTGGGGAGTCTGTTAAGCGTGAATGTTTGGCAAATGTTTGATAACTTGCAGTCTTTTTAAAAAAATATATTTTTATTGATTTTAGACAGGAAGGGAGAGGGAGAGAGAGAGAAGCATCAATAATGAGAGAGAATCATTGATTGGCTGCCTCCTGCATGCCCTCCACTGGGGATCAAGCCCACAACCCTGGCACATGCCCTTGACCGGAATCGAACCCGGGACCCTTCAGTCTGCAGGCCGACGCTCTATCCACTGAGCAACCCAGCCAGGGCCCTGCAGTTCTTACATAAGTCGGATGCCACTCGGTAGTTCCCGGCTTTGAACAGAACGATGCTGAGTCATGGGCACCTGCTTGTCTGAGTGTTATGTGTGGCCTCATTGGTTGCCGCTGGCTCCTCACTCA